TCTCCCATCCCTGATCGGTATGCCTATATCACGGCGTGTGCACGGCTCACGCGTTTTTTTTTTTTTTTTTTTTTTTTTTTTTTTTTTTTTTTTTTTTTTTTTTTTTTTTTTTTTTTTTTTTTTTTTTTTTTATATATAATAAAAATAAATATTCATTTATATGTATGTATATGTGTGTATATATATGTATAGTATATTTTTCTTTTGTATTTTGTGTTATGATTATAAACGGCGAACACATTCGCCCCTCAGAATCCATGCTTGCAGTATTCCGTGTGTTCCGAGGATAAGCGGACGACGGATTTCATGAACATGTCTGTCTGTCTGTCTGTCTGTCTGTCTGTCTGTCTGTCTGTCTGTCTGTCTGTCTGTCTGTCTGTCTCCTCCTCCTCCTCCTCCTCTTCCCTCCTTGTCCACCTTCTCGTGCAGTGGCGCAGCGTCCTTGCCTGCTGATAGCCAGGAGCATATACATTACGTCGGTTGACGAAATCTATACATATCCACTGCTCCCTGGCCAGGCCCCTCCTGAACCCAGGAGCCGTGTGTACGCCTCCGTGGCCAAGCCAGGAGGGCGTTGCGTACACGCCGCTGCAAGATTCAGGCTGAGTCTGTCCAGGGAGCAGTGGATATGTATAGATTTCGTCGCCCTATTACCAGTGGCGGGTTGTCTTTCAATCCCAGGACTTTCAGGGTCGGGGACGGCGTCGGGGTGGTGTGGTGTATGCTTTGTTTCCCAGGTTCCCAGGGAAACAACGAGATCTGTATACACCAGGATCCCGTATGCACCAGGGTCCGTTTCCAGGTGCGAATTTCAATGCGGGGCCAGAAACATGTCGGTGTAAAGAGTTCGGCTTCGTATATAGGCCCCCCCAGAATGGTCTAATAACCTTTTTGTGGTATGCGCGAGCTGTCCTCGCTCATAACATTTCTGGATGAGATAGGCTTGTGTTAAAGCGTAGGCTGTGTGTTCTAAGGGCATACGTTGTGTTCTAGGAAAATTTCGTGGTGGGCCTATAGGAATGTCGGGACGGTCGGTCCCTGCTCAAGTCAGGGTTTCACGCGCTTGGGACGAACCTCCCCGTTCCCAGGATCGTTAGTGAAGAGGCTTGTTCGTCTGACTTACGCTTCAAGAGGCCAACACCCCACCCCACACCCGCTGGGACGATGTGTTTATTTTTCCGCAATGCTTGTGGATGAGTCGGCGCGCTCCCACAGCGAATCATTTTTCCACACGCCACGCTTGCTTCTGGTATTGTAAAAACCGCTTTTGCGCTTTGTCAGATTCGCGCTTTCGTATAGAATGATGCGCCGGTGTGTGTGCGCGAAGACCGATTCGAGCAAGGTTCCAAGGAATTTCGCGCGTGGTATTTTCTGAGCAGCGCGGTCGGGGCGTTTAGACATCAGTGGCGTTGACAAATCAGCTTGTCGATGGGGGCCAACCATATGCAGTTGTAAGTACCGCCGATGTGAGTATCGTCTTCGGTGGATCTCCTCATGGGGCCACGAAGCGCGTAAATGGTGTGCCAGAATCTGTCGGGGACACCATGCGGGCGCTGCCACTGGGGCCTTCGAGCATTGCGGGTGGAATGACATGCAGGAGGGGGGCCAGCAACAGGAGCAACTAGTGCCTTCGGTGGAGCTGCCTATGAGGCCACGAAGCGCGTGAGGGGTATGCCGAAATGGCGAGTGAGACCGCATGTGGGCGTTGCCCCTGGAGCCTTCGGTTGACCTCCATATGGCATAGCCCTATCGGGCAACGGAACGTGCGAGGGGGTCGCCGAAATGGAAGGTGGAACCCCATGCGGGCGCTGCCATTGAGACCTTCGGTGGAGTTCCCTATGGGGTCATGAAGCGTGTGCGGGATGCACCGAAATGGGGCTGGAACTCTGTGCGGGCGCTGCCACTGGGGCCTTCGGTGGGGCTCCCTATGGGGCCACGAGGGTGGAACTGCATGCGTGCGCTGTCACTGAAGCCTTCGGTGGAGCTCCTTAAAGGGGCCACGAAAAGTGTGAGGTTGCCGAAATGAAAGGTGGAACTGCATGCGGGCCCTGCCACTTGTGCGTTCGGTGGAGTTCCCTATGAGTCCACGGAGCGTGTGAGGGGTATACCGAATGCATCGGGCGCTGCCATTGTGGCCTTCGATGGAGCTTCTTGTGAGGCCACGAAACGTGTAAGGGATGTGCCGAATTGGGAAGGAACTGCATGCGGGCGCTGCCACTGGAGCGCGCTGCCACTGGAGCCTTCGGTGGAGGTCCCTGGGGCCTTCGGTGGAGCTTCCTATGCGGTAACGAAGCGTGTGAGGGGTGAGCCTGGGTGAAACTGCATGCGGGCGCTGCCACTGAAGCCTTCGGCGGGGCTCCCTATGCGGCCACGAAGCGTGGACGGGGTGTGCCGAAATGGAAGGTGGAACTGCAGGCGAGCGCTGCCACTGGGGCCTTCGGGAGAGCTCCCTATAGGGCCACGAGCCGTGTGAGGGGTGTACCGAAAGGCGCTGCCACTGGGGCCTTCGGTGGAGCTCCCCGTGGGGCCACGAAGCGTGTGAGGGGTGCACCGACATTGGGGTGGAACTGCATGCGGGCGCTGCCACTGGGACCTTCGGTGGGTCCCCGCATGAGGCCACGAAGCGTGTGAGGGGTATGCTGACGTGAGGGCAGAGACGACACGGATGGGAGGCTTGAGGGGATGAGAGGAGGGAGGAGGGGGAGGGATGAGGGGAAGTGCGAGGAGAGGAGGAGGGGGGAGGAATGATAATAATACGAATGATACTAATAATAAGAATACTAATAATAATACTACTAGTACTAATACTACTACTATTACTAATAATAATATTAATAAAACATACTAATACTAGTATTAATAACTAGTACTAATAATACTAATCGTAATACTATATCACGAAGAATAATAATACTACGACGACGAACGCGACGAAACATAATAAGCATACTCGTACTAAGGATACTAGGACGAATACTACCACGACTCGCAATACTATTATTACTAATGCTAATACTCGTAATACTAATAACAACAATACTAATACTATTACTAATAATAATACCAATAATAATAAGGATGCTGATCATGCTGATGATAATCATAATATTAATAATAATAGTATTAATGGCATTATTATTCATAATAATAACAGTCGTAATACTAGTAATAATAGTAATAGTACTAATAATAATACAAAAAATGATACTAATACTAATAATAATAGTATAATACTAATAGTAATAACAATAATAATAGTAATACTACAAATACTACTACTATTATTAATAACAATAATAATCATAGTAATAATAATAGTAATACTAATATTATTACTACTACTAATAATGATACGAATAACAACAATACTACTACTACTACTACTACTAATGATACTACTAATAATACTAACAATAATACTAATAATAATACTACTAATACTAATAATACTAATAACAATAATAACAATAATAATACTACCAATAATAATAATATTAATAATAATAATAAAAATAACAATCATAATACTAATAATAATAATAATAATAATAATCATAATACTATTGTTAATAATGATAATACTAATTCTCAGAATAATCATATTACTACTACTAATATTATTAACAATAAGAAGAGGAGGAGGAAGAGGAGGAGGAGGAGAAGGATAAGGACGAGGCGGAGGAGGAGGAGGAGGAGGAGAAGGAGGAGACGGAGGAGGAGGAGGCGGAGGAGGCGGAGGAGACGGAGGAGGAGGAGGAGGAGGAGGCGGAGGCGGAGGCGGATGATGAGGAGGCGGAGGCGGAGGAGGAGGAGGAAGCGGAGGCTGAAGGGGAGGAGGAGGCGGAGGAGGAGGAGGCGGCGGAGGCGGAGGAGGAGGAGGAGAGGAGCAAGAACAGGAGGAGGAGGAGGGGAGGAGGAGGAGGAGGAGGAACAGGAAAAGAAGGAGCAGGAACAGGAGGAGGAGGAGGAGGAGGAGGAGGATGAGGAGGAGGAGGAGGAGGAGGAGGCGGAGGCGGCGCGGCGGCGGAGGAGGAGGAGGAGGAGGAGGAGGAGGAGCAGCAGCAGCATCAGCAGCAGCGGCAGTAGGAGCATGAGCAGCAGCAGCAGCAGCAGCAGGAGCAGGAGCAGCAGGAGCAGGAACAGGAGCAGGAGCAGGAGCAGGAGCAGGAGCAGGAACAGAAGCAGGAGCAGGAGGAGGAGGAGGAGGAGCAGGAGCAGGAAAAGTAGGAGCAGGAGCAGGAGCAGGAGCAGGAGCAGGAACAGGAGGAGGGGGAGGAGGAGGAGGAGGAGGAGGAGGAGGAGAGGAGGAGGAGGAGGAGGAGGGGGAGGAGGGGGAGCTGGGGGAGGAGGGGGAGGAGGTGGAGGAGGAGGAGGAGGCGGAGGAAGAGGAGGAGGAAAACGCGGAGCGTATTTTTTGTGTTTTTGTTTTTTTCCCCCCCTCTCAAAACGAGGACCAGGCACCACAGGATAGTTGGGACAAGAAGAAAGCGTAAGGTTTCATGACACGGTTTTGCCCGCCGCTCGGCGGCCGCGCCTCCTGCACTCTGCCAGGGGCCTCCCCTGGGGCACGAGCAGCCGGCGGGCGGCGTCGGGCCGCCGACCCCAGTGAGAAAATTTTGAACAGAGGAGGCTTGGGTTGCCTTCAACAGTGGATTCCAAGAGCTCGTCTCGTCGCTCCTTACCCTCCCTGGAGGATCGATGCGCGAGCCTGCGGCCAAGCAGGCCTCGCTGGCCAGGTCTACACCCATCGTGTGCAACCCGCCAAACGCCGGGGGCGATTGTCGGTTTTTTGAAGGGGCAGTGCAGCGATCCCAGGGAATCTTTTCCGCCGCCTCTTCTTCCCTCCACTCGCCGTCCTCTGCGCTCTTCCCTCCCTCTCCACTGGGCTTTGGCCCGTGGCGGCAGACTCGCCAGAGGAGGATGAACAGTTATTAGTTCTTGGCTTGGCGCGCCACTCGTCACTGCCCTATCTGATACACTTTGTGATGTCATCGCCCTGGCCAGGTTCAGATTCTGGAGGCCATCAGGGAAGAGCTCCAGCCTTTCTACAGTGAGAGGATCAAGGAGATCCCCAAGGTTATGATCAACTACGTGGAGAAAATTAAGGAGGCCACTTGTACATCAATGCTCCCGTCTGTCTTCTTTCATGTTCCACCCATGCCATTGCAACTGCTGAATCCTTTCCATCCAGCGAGAGGACAGGAGGCTGACCCAAAATGAGGACTGATTTGGAGGGTGCTTCGCGTTCACCGCCCGCCCTTTCCAGTCTTCGCCAGAGGCCCATGCCTGTCCAATTTCCCACCCGGCAGTTTGGGATTCATATTTTCTGGTTTCTGAGAATTCCCGACCCCTTGTGGCCGCCCATCATCCCACGGCAACTGGGCCTCAAGCTTCCCGAGTGGTCCCTGGAGGGAGATCCTAGGTGGCTCTTGCCCGCCAAGCAGGCCGCGGCCGCCGGGCCCCAAGCGTCCCAGTTGGTTCCTGGGGATCTTGCCTCGGCAGTCACGGCGTCACGGCGTCACGCCGTCCGGGCGTCACGTCGTCACACCGTCCACTGACATGTAGAACAGACCGCAAGACGATATGTTAAGAGCAGGCATCCATGACCTGAAGTGGCAACACACATTATGAGCATTCACCGCGTCGCACACGCCAATAACACAACGCTGGCTCGCATCAGTAAGCCACGCCCAGAACGTTCTCTCCGATATACACTAGTAACATGTATCACCCACCTGGACCAGCAGCATGCGTCAGCAACTGGCATCGAGCATGCATGAACAGCATGCATGCGTATCATACCCCAAGGGCCTACGCCAGCACCAACCACTAATATCAGACATCGATACAAACAATACCACAGACCATCATCATCCACCCAGAACAGGCAGCACGACCATACATCAACTGCACCAGAAACATGCGTCAACACTAGACAACACCCACCACAACATAGCATACATCAAGCACCAGGCACCATCACCCGCACCAGGAACACGCAGTATTTCCAGGATCGGGTTCGGGTATCAATGCCGCACATTAAGAACGGTTGGCGCACATGAAACTAACACGTTGTTGCTCTTCTTTCCCCGCTCGCTCCCTGCCGCCGCCAGTCGCCTTTTTCCAGGCTATATTGCAGGGGCGCCTCTTGCGGGCACCGCGGGCCTGTCGGCGCGAGAGTCGAACAGGTAGTGGATTGTCGTCGGTTTCGTCGTCGTCGTCCCGCCTCCTCTAATTTTTTTCCATACAATTTATCATAGCTTAACGGATCATAAAAAGGCATGTCTGATATACGTTTCATGGGCGATGAGACCGATGTGCTGACCACCATCATGTCCCAGTTTTTCCGAACATAGTTTTTTTGTTTTTCTTCTCTCTCCGGCGAATGACAGGTTATCAGCCAGAAAGTCTAATGTGGTATCTGACATGCGCGTGACCACGCACAATGATTTCGATTCGCGTGTCCCAGAGGCGATTACGCAAGATCAGCCGAGTATTCCGCCGAATGATGCGTGGGGTTTAGCCCACCCAGGCGTTCCCATCATATCGTTGCTGGATGCCCCTGTTCCCCCCCTGGAAGACAGCGACTCGGCGCTGGTCTTACCAGTGGAAGGGGAAGGTCATTTGGATCATGGGCTTTCAGCTATCACGAGAGACGACGACCTGAATTCTCATATTTCGTCCATCAGGGATAAGAAGACTTTCGTCGTGCCGCATAAGGATCACGCGAGAGACAGCGCAGGGGAGACACCTGAAGCAAAACGTCCCCAGTTACTTGAGGATGTAAGCGTGGATCATGATCTTCCAATGCAGGTTTTCATTTCTGGCTGGGAGTTCGATTGATGATGCGCGTTTCCCAGGCACGCAACAAAAATCCAGGGCCGATCCCGTTTCCGATGGTGTTTTACGTAACTTTATCAGGAGGTTTGCGTCGATGTCGCCATTCGCATGTAGATTGCGTGCCAGGTCGAGGAGAAACCAAGGATCCCATGGACTTTCGGAACGCATCGTTGAGAGGGAGTTGTTGGGGCCGAGGGCGCGTTGTTACCCGCCGGCGGAAATCGTATTCCCCGGTGGATGCGTGGCTGGTGGTTCACACGTTCGCCAGCGTTGCCATTTCAATTGGTTCTGCTCAGAGTGCGTAGACATGAAAGAACAAATTCGCCGCCATGCTGTTTTCTTTGAATGATGAGAACGCATTCGCAGATGAAAGGAGACTTTGGGAAGAACTGGCTGCGCAAGCTTGCTCGGATCAAACGCAGAAATATGAACCATTTTGGGATTTTCACTACGAGGAGGACACCCTTCTACAGGCCGCGCAGCAAGCCCATCTTTGCTGGCAGGCAGCGTCGGAGGCAGCTCACTTGTTTCTGATTGGCGCCGGAAGGAAATGCGTGGTGTTCGAAGAGCTGGCGGAACAAAATTTGATATAACGGGAAAGAGAGTGTCGGGGGATATGGAAGTAGAAGAATTACATAGGGACCAATTTCTGCAACCAGTGGAGATAAGGGCAAATTATTGTCGTTGGTCGGCGGAAGGCGCGATGCAAACGAGGGCGTCGCAAATGGCTGCTCTGGTTCGCCGCGCGCACGCAGGGGCAAAAACAGTTGTGCAGCGCGGAGATCTTTGGTGGCGCACCGCTATTTATCAAGCAATGAAAATGAAAGCACGTAGTAATTTGATTCTTCTCCGGGAAGTCAACGGCGCGACCAGGCAAAATGGCGGGGCGGCGCCGCCCGCGCCGCGGGTTCAATCCGCGGTGCAGGGCGGCGCTGTTGCGAGCCCACCTGCTTTCCTTTCTAGGCGCGGTAGGTCGAGCGGACTGGCGTCGCGGGCTCAGCCTTTGACGCCGGGGGCTCAACGTATCAGACCTCGGAGAGGGGGCCGCGGCCGAGTTGGGGGGCGTGCGAATTTGGCTTTTCACTCAATGCAGAGAATATCACTTGTGCTCTATGTGCCGGGCCACGTCGCGGCAGCCACGTCGACTTCGACTCCATGACTGGGCGACGCGGGCAGTGCGCTCAGGACGAGCCGCAAGCCAGGGCGGAAGCTGCTCGGGGGCGCCAGGAGGAGGAGCGTTGGCGATCTCAGTAGTGGGAAGAGCAGGCGCGCATGGCTCGCCTCGTTAAGAACGCATCTATATGTATATATGTATATACATATATACACATATACATGTGTATATATATGCACATATACACGTAACACACGCGCAGAGGAGCCAGAGGAATACGAGACGGCCGAGCGCGCCGAGGAGAGAGAAGACGAATCGGAATCCATTGAGTTGAAACACATTGGTTGGGGCGGTCAAGGACGCGTGGAACAGCGTTTCCTCGATGCGCCGACGTTTCCCGAATTTCGCGGGCCGCCCGGCCGCAGATTTCTCGCCCAAAGCGCTCGATGCCCCAGAAGAGCCGCCAGGCCTGGGGCCTTCCCCTGGCGGCTCAGCCGGGGGCGGGGGCGGCGGCGGGGGGGGCCCTGGCGGCGGCGGCGGCGGGGTGGGCGACCGAGACAATCGCGGGCCCACGGCTTATCATTCAGATTTTTGGGGGCGAGCGGGGAAATTTACGGGTGTGAAGTTGGTTCCGATTCCCGACGCGATGGTGCTTCGTGAATGGGAGCTCCATGCGACGAGGGTAGTCTCGTCTGCTATAGCTGACGGATCAGGAACACTGCCTCGGATCACCCAAGCATCGGATCCCAATGTGGATCCCGAGTTTGAGGAGCTCAGGGGGGCGCGAGCGACTCGATATGATTATTTCTTCGGACCTCGCCGGCGTATTTCTCCCAGTATCAGCGGGTTGCCATCGCCTCCTCCCCCTTGCCATCGCTCTCCTCCTTCTCATTTCCCATTGCTCCCACCATTCATCATCGCCCTTCCTCCCCCTCTTCCCCTCCTCCTCCTCCTCTTCATTTTCTCATCCTCGTTTTCCGCAGGGAGGGGGGCGCGACTGGGGGGAGGAGAACAAAGGACGATAATACAATGACGTGAGGGAGGACCAGGAGAAGGGGACGTGATAAACGACTAGGAGGGGAGGGGAGAAGGACAACGGCGATGAGTAAAGCGATCTGCCGGAACCTTCCCTGTCCTGTCAGACGTGCGTGCGCATACGTAGTCTTTTTGTTACCTAGCAGCTTTTGCTGACAGGTTTCTAGTGGTTTCAAAAGAGAGCAGCAGATGACTCCACAGGGGGGTCGGGGCGGGACCCGGGCCGCTGCCGCCGAAGCCCAAATCGCTTGGGACATCCTCGCAAAATCGCTCTTGGCGCTGCCCCGGCGTACATTTTGGATGCCCGGAGCTAACTCTAGGCCACTTCGTGGTCTTCGAGTTCCCAGAACTCCATTCCCGGCGTACATTTTGGATGCCCGGAGCCAACTGTAGGCCACTTCGTGGTCTTCGAGTTCCCAGAACTTCATTCCCGGGCCACATTTTGGATGCCCGGAGCCAACTGTAGGCCACTTCGTGGTCTTCGAGTTTCCAGAACTCCATTCCCGGGCTACATTTTGGGTGCCCGGAACCAACTGTAGGCCACTTCGTGGTCTTCGAGTTCCCAGAACTCCACTCCCGGGCCACATTTTGGATGTCCGGAGCCAACTGTAGGCCACTTCGTTTTTTTCGAGCTCCCAAAACTTTACTCCCGGGCCACATTTTGCTTACTGGATGTCTCCGTCAGATTTCTCGCCGCCCGATTCCCGGTTTGTTCTGTGTCGTCATCGTGCAGGGCAAGACGGCGGACCCAGGCGTCATCGTGCACTGGACGTTTCCGCCTGAATTTAATATTTGTAGTAGCAGTAGTTTACACACAGGTTCCCCCGGAGTTGTTTTTTCGCTTGCGTTTTTTCCAAAATGCTGCTCTCGCTGAGGCGCCGGCATCATTTTCGAGCCCCGCTCGTTCCGAATCGTGCTCCCGCTGCAGCGCTGGCATCATTTCCGCCGGCGCCCGGGCTGCACCCCCGGCGCCTGGGCCGGCGATCGGGCCGGGTCCGGAGCCGGTTCCGGCCGGCGCCGGAAAATTGAGTTCCGAGGCGGCGCCGAAAAAAGGCCATTCTAATACACATTTTTTACCTAACAGCGAAGACTGAAATGTTTCTAGTAGGGTCAAAGAGCATCATGACGCCCTAGGGGGGTCTGGGCGCGATCCGGGGGAGGATGCCAGGGGGATGCCGGGGAATTTGTTTTAAGCGCACGGTAACGCACTTCGTGGTCTTCGAGTTCCCAGGACTCCATTCCTGGGCATGATTTTGAAAACCCGGAGCCAACTGTAGGCCACTTCGTGTTCTTCGTGTTCCCAGAACACCATTCCCGGGCCACATTTTGAATGCCCGGAGCCAACTGTAGGCCACTTCGTGTTCTTCGTGTTCCCAGAACACCATTCCCGGGCCACATTTTGAATGCCCGGAGGCAAGTGTAGGCCACTTCGTGGTCTTCGTGTTCCCAGAACATTGTTCCCGGGCTACATTTGAATGCCCGGAGCCAACTGTAGGCCACTTCGTGCTCTTCGTGTTCCCAGAACATTACTCCCAGGCTACATTTTGATTGCCCGGAGCCAACTGTGAGGCTGAGGCTGAGGCAGGCTGAGGCTGAGGCAAGCTGAGACTGAGCCTGAGGCAGGCTGAGGCTGAGGCTGAGGCTGATGCAGGATGAGGCTGAGAGGCTGGCGTTGAGGCTGAGGCAGGCTGAGGCTGAGGTTCAGGCCGAGGCAGGCTGAGGCTGAGCTGACGCAAGCTGAGGCAGGCTGAGGCTGAGGCTGAAGCTGAGGCAGGCTGAGGCTGAGGCTGAGGCTGTGGCTGAGGCTGCTGCTGAGGCAAGCTGCGGCTGAGGCAAGCTGAGGCTGAGGCTGATGCAGGCTGAGGCTGAGGCAGGCTGAGGCTGAGGCTGAGGCTGAGGCCGAGGCTGAGGCCGAGGCAGGCTGAGGCTGAGGCCGAGGCAAGCCTAGGCAGGCTGAGGCCGAGGCTGAAGCTGAGGCAGGCTGAGGCTGAGGCTGAGGCTGTGGCTGAGGCTCAGGCAAGTTGCGGCTGAGGCTGAGGCTGAGGCCGCGGCAGGCTGAGGCTGAGGCTGATGCAGGCTGAGTCTGAGAGGCTGACGCTGAGGCTGAGGCTTAGGCTGAGGCCGAGGCAGGCTGAGGCTGAGGCTGAGGCTGTGGCCGAGGCAGGCTGAGGCTGAGGCTGAAGCTGAGGCAGGCTGAAGCTGAGGCTGTGACTGAAACTGAGGCAAGCTGCGGCTGAGGCAGGCTGAGGCTGAGGCTGATGCAGGCTGAGGCGAGGCAGGCTGAGGCTGAGGCAGGCTGAGGCTGAGGCGAAGGCAGGCTGAGGGAGCCGAGGCAAGCCGAGCAGGCTGAGGCTGAGGCTGAAGCTGAGGCAGGCTGAGGCTGAGGCTGAGGCTGTGGCTGAGGCTGAGGCAAGCTGCGGCTGAGGCAGGCTGAGGCTGAGGCTGATGCAGGCTGAGGCTGAGGCAGGCTGAGGCTGAGGCCGAGGCAGGCTGAGGCAGGCTGAGGCTGAGGCTGAGGCCGAGGCCGAGGCAGGCTGAGGCTGAGGCCGAAGCAAGCCGAGGCAGGCTGAGGCTGCGACTGCGAGAACAGCAGAATTCTACAACTGGATTCTCACCTAAATCTTAAGGGGAATGCTTTCAGATATGCTTCTACACATCGCTGTTAGGTTGCTTTGTCGGGATAATTTATTGTGTTTCTTTTTCATCTTCCCCTCCTCCTCCTTCTCCTTCTTCTTCTTCTTCTTCTTCTTCTTCTTCTTCTTAGACTTCTACTTCTACTCTCTCCCCCTTCCCAGCCCGACCCCCCCCCTCCCCCCCTCTGCTCCACGCATCCCTGCCCGTGCCGAGGGCCCTGGGGCCAGGCCGAGGGTCCCGCGGCGCACGCGGACAGGTGAACCACATCGTGAGGAACGAGGGGCCCGTGGAGTCCTCCACCGTCTCGCACTGGGCCCAGCCGCTGGTGCCCACGGAGCCCGTCGCCACCACGGCGGCCGCGCCGCAGGGGGGCGGGACGCAAGGGGGCGGCAGTGGGGCGAGGGCGAGGGGCGAGGGGCGCCTGGCCTCGCTCGGGCGTGTGCATCTTTCTCCCTGCGGCGAGGGCACTCGATGGGGAGCATCCTGGACCCTCTCTGGCGAAGACGCCGCGCACGAAGCCGCAGAAGCCGCGGGGAATGGCCGCCCGGGCGGGGGCCAGGGGCGAGGCCTGAGGCCTGCCGGCCCCCGCGGCTCGCCAGGAGCGCTCCGGGGGCGCCCGGGGTGCCGCCCCGCGCGGGGGGGGGCCCCGAGCGGGGGGCGGCGGTGGGGCGGTGGGGCGGTGGGGCGGTGGGGCGGTGGGGCGCCGGCGAGGGCGGGATGGGGAGCGCGGGAGATCTTTGGCCCCTGGGAGCTCCTTTGTTGCTGTCCTCTTTTTCGTAAGTTTTTTTTTTTTTTTTTTTTTTTGTTTTCTCTCTCTCTCTTTCTCTCTCTCTCTCTCTCTCTCTCTCTCTCTCTCTTATACATATATATATATATCTTGTTTTTCGTTCTCCCCCCTCCCCTCTCTCATCTGTCCTTCTCAGAGGAAGAGTCATACTGGCCGGCCTTGCCCCGGATTCTTCGGGGTTCTTCGTTTCTGTTCTTTGTTGTGTTTTGACGGCCAGCCTTGACAGGGTTCTTCGGGTTTCGGAGTTCCTTCGTCTTGTTCCCTTAGTTTTTGAAAGGAGTTCTCGAGGGTGCCAATCAAAGTCAAGCAGCAATGCCAAGCAATGCCAAGCAATTCCAAGCACTGCCAAGCAATAGCAAGCTATGCCACACAGTGCCAAACAATACCAAGCAACGCCAAGCAAAGTCAGGCAACGCCAAGCAAAGTCACGGAATGCAAGGCAATGCAACGTAATGCCAAGAAAAGCAGTTCTAAGCAATCTCAATCGTTGCCAAGTTCTTCCAAGCAATCCCCAGCAATAGCAAGCAATGTATTATTTTGGTTGGTTCCCCCTAGTCCAGGTTGCGCTGAGTGCATATTCATACGAAGGTTAATAAGACGCGCGCTGCCAAACAATGCCAAGCAATGTCAAGCCGTAATCAGCAATGCAGAGCAATTCCAACCGATGCCAAGCAATGCCAAGCAACCCAAGCTATGTCAACCAGTTGCAAGCAGTATTAAGCAACGCCAAGCAATGCCAAGCAATGTCGGGCAACGCCAAGCAAAGCCACGCAATGCAAGGCAATGCAATGTAATGCCAAGCAAAGCAATGCCAAGCAATCCCAATCGCTGCCAAGCAATTCCAAGCAACCCCAAGCAATGGCAAGCGATGTCTTCCTTTGGTGGGTTCCCCTGATTCGAGTTACGCACGTGAGTAAGACGAACACTGCCAAGCAGTGTCAAGCACTGTCAAGCCATAATCAGCAAGGCAGAGCAACGCGAAGCGATGCCAAACAATGCCAAGCATGGTCAAGCAATGTCCAGCAACGCCACGCAATGACCGGCAGTGCCGAGCAATGCCAAGGAATTCAAGGCAATGCAAAGCAGTGACAAGGACTGTCTTCCTCGCTTAGGCCCTTACCCTAAAAAACGTCGGCCTGACTTGGGTTGCGCTGAGTCCGTGCTCATACGGAGGTGAACGGGACGATCACGAATACCTCAAGTACGTCGATCAGTCATAAGAAAAAGATGAGTATGATATCAACACCAAGAGCAACAATCAATCAAGTCAATAATCCTGATGCTACGATTCACATTGCACTGGTATTGATTTCCATAATTGGTATCTGAATACAATGTATGAACATCGTAACATTGCTACGCATATGAATATGTGTATCTGCCCGACCATGCTCTTTCGGAGGTCTGCGCGGATTTCTCGGATCTGCCTGGATCCCCTTGCACCGCGTGCGCTTGGAAGGGAGGTCAGCACCAATCCAAGAAACGCGCGCGAACCCCCGACAGATTATGCTCATGCAGTTGGGCGGGGGGTGAGAGAGATCTTGGGTCATTGAGCCTTCTTGGGGCGTCTCTAGGCCACCTTGGAATCCCCCTGGGGCGATCCCGGAGCCTCGTGGTCAGCCTGGAGGTCATTTTGGGCCACGGTGGGCCCTCTTGTGGAGTCTCGCCCGCTTGTTGTTGCTCCTCTTTGGGCTCCCTTGGGGTGCGTTTGGGAAGGGTCGAGGCGCTCTGAGGGTCATCCGGCACCCCACTTCAGGTGTTCTTCGGCCATCCTCCCTCTTCGGGGGGCGGGCGGAAGCCCAGTCTGCTTCAGCGCCCTCCTACTTCCAGGTTTCTGCCCACCTCTGCCGACCTCGGGGGCGGAAAAGAGGGGGGTGATGACTAGGGGGGGGTGGATATCGTGGCGTGGGCCATGATATCTCCCCAGATTTCATGGCGCCTCCTCTTATCTCGTTACGCCCCTGGCCCCCCCGCTGGGCCGCGCACATGCCGCCGGTCATGACTTGCACCCCCTCCTCCTGGACACCCCCCTCTTGGCCGCTCCCGACGACCGACGTGCAGACTGGCCACCCGGGGTGGTCGGCCACGCGCCGAGGGGGGGTGGGGGGAAGGGGGAGGGCTCCTTAGGAGCACCCCTGCTTTTCAGAAGGCGCGGGCCTCGTCTATAGATGTGCACATTGTTCATTTCTGCTTCTTCGAAAGTCCTTTGGCTTTTTGGGGGGCCAAGATCATTCCATTTCTGCTTGCTCCATCCTGGGCCTCTTCCTGGCCACTGGGGGCCAGGAGCAATCAGAAACGAGCACGATCAGGAGTGAGCACGATCAGACATGGACGACGTGTGTAAGGCCGAAACCCTTCTAAGAAGCAGCCTCCTCCCAAGAAGCCCTCCCCCCTCCCTCCGCCCCCTTGTTGCGCGCCGCCAGGGTGGGGCGGGCGGGCGCCGCGTGCGCGCCCGGCGCTCCGACGCGCCCGCCAGCGCTTCCCCTCCGGCGGGGATGCCCGGCCGGGAGCGGGCCGCCAGTGTGCTCGACCTGAGCACGGCTTTCTCTGGGAGGCGCAAGACCTGATGGGCTCGTCTTCCACCACCACCACCACCGTAGGTAGGAGGGGGAGGGGGTCCTCATCCTCCTCCTCCTCTTCTTCCTCCACCTCCTTCTCTTCCTCGTCCTCCTCCTCCTCAGGCTGGCGCGCCAGATCGAGAAAAACAGCAACGAGCACAAAATGGGCCGCTTCATGGAGCTGATGGCCATACTGACCAAGCTCAGTCTCTCGAGCGCCAGAGAGCTCGCAGACTTGACAGGCGCGTGCTTCACGTACTTTCTGCTTCCAGAAAGCGCGCCGCTCATCAAGCAGATGCAGGAGTCGGGCAAGGCCTACGCCAAGGACTGCAAGGAAAAGGGGGAGGACCACGGGAACGGCCCGCCGTGGCCGCACGTCTTCCTCGGCCTCCTCCACCACTTCATCACGCAGGACGGGATGGACCCCATGGCATTCAAGGTGATGAAGACATACTGGAAGTACGTGACGAAGCTTCCCAAGGAGGAGGCACTGACCCACCTCCAAGAACAGATTCGGTTTCTCAGGGTGAAGGCGTGCTGGTACGATCGCAAGAAAGGAGACAAACCGACCAGGTTCAAACTTCAGTTCATGATGAGCCCCAATGCGCAGGCCAACCCGATCAAGGACGGCGACTCGCAGGAGACCATCCTCCCCCTGCACCAGGCGATGTGCAGGGCCATCCAGCACGAGGGGGGAGAGTACCGCGCGGGCGGAGCACCTCGCGGAGCGCTGGAGCGCGAGGCGGAGCGGCTGATGAAGCAGCTCGGACTGCAGGACGACACGACGGCGGAGGAGGAGAAGGTGGGATCCGACAGCGACAAAGAGTTTTGAGTTTGCCGCCCCTCAAGCTCATCGAAGTCAACGGCTCTGAAAGGATGGCCGACATGGTTTGTAGTGGCAGGCTCTTCGGCCGTGCATGATTCAGATTGCAGCAGAAATACTCACATCCCATTCTAAGATATTCCAACGGGCAGCGAAGCATCTTGCTGCACCAGGGCGACACGGAGGACCCTCCCTTCTCTATTTCAATGAATGAATTCTATCAGCGTAGCATGCAGGTCCGCAGCATACAGGTGAATGTGCACACTGTTCCACTTCAGCCAACCCCCAGTGTCTCCAGCAGGTTCTTGCATCCCAACCCTGACGGCTGACGACCAGCTGTTCGTTATTGGGCCCTGCTTCTACCTCCAGATGTACATCTAAGATTGAGTAGCAAGTGAGCGGCGTTGCGACCTTGCTCACTTCCCCCTTCCCTGTCCCCGCCCTCTGCTTCTTTGCCCCGCCCCCTCTTTTCAGGAAGGATGGTGCCGCGGGCGGCAGCTTGGTCTCCCCTGATAGCTGTCCCGCTGTCGGCCAGTGAAGGCCGTCCTTCCAGCGGTAGCCGCTGGTAGGCGATTGCATCGCAGCCGAGAGCCTTTCGATGTCGTGCTGGCCCCCGCTCCTTTGTTCGTTCTCCTCCTCGCGGCCCTCGGTCCTTCGGCTTGCCCTCGGTCCTCCGTCGGTCCTGCCTGGGGTCCCCTGGCCCGCTCGCCGCTCTCGCTTCGTCGGTGGCCCCTCGTGAATCCCACTTTGTGGGCTTTTGTAAGCAGGCGCCTCACAAGCATCAGCTTCAGCTGGCACAGACTATGGCTCGCAACGGTTCTTGTCTTGTCTTGTCCTCCTCCTCCGCCTTCCTCCGTAAGACTTGATGGGGGAAGGGGTCCTCCTCCTCTTCCTCTTCCTCCTCGTCCTCCTCCTCCTCCTCCTCCTCCTCCTCTTCCTCCACCTCCTTCCCCCCTCCAACTTATGGTGGTGGTGGTGGAAAGCAGGCCCATAAAGACTTCGGTCAGGTATGTCCCTCTACAAGAGGAGTATTCAAAAACAAGAGTTAATATATAGTCAGGGGACGATTCTTCGATTATCTCTTCATCATTTTGAGATGTGTTGATTTTTTTGTTTTAAAAAAATGTTTTCTCCAACACAAACCGCCTGTAGGGGACGACGTGCCCGACCGAAGGCTTTCTGGG